AGAAAGGTGGTCATCCATGTAAAGTCCAAGTAAAAAGAATCCTATGCCCACCAAACCTATTCGGCTCACTGAGCTTAGAAACATTCAAAAGCCTAAAGGCCCATGAAGTCCAAAACTAGGCCCAATAAACTTAAAACCCAAAAAGTCTTATACTAAGGCCCATAATACAAGACCAAACAATATAAACTCCTATACTACCAAAAATATGAGAAAGGTGGTCATCCATGTAAAGTCCAAGTAAAAAGAATCTTAGGCCCACCAAACCCATTGGGCTCATTGAGCTTAGAAGCAATCAAAAGCCTAAAGGCCCATGAAGTCCAAAACTAGACCCAATAAACTTAAAACCCAAAAAGTCTTATACTAAGGCCCATAATACAAGACCAAACAATATAAACTCCTATACTACCAAATATATGAGAAAGGTGGTCATCCATGTAAAGTCCAAGTAAAAAGAATCCTAGGCCCACCAAACCCATTGGGCTCACTAAGCTCAGAAGCAATCAAAAGCCCAAAGGCCCATGAAGCCCAAAATTAGGCCCAATAAGCTTAAAACCCAAAAAGTCTTATACTAAGGCCCATAATACAAGACCAAACAATATAAACTCCTATACTACCAAATATATGAGAAAGGTGGTCATCCATGTAAAGCCCAAGTAAAGAGAACCCTAGGCCCACCAAACCCATTGGGCTCACTAAGCTCAGAAGCAATCAAAAGCCCAAAGGCCCATGAAGCCCAAAACTAGGCCCAATAAGCTTAAAACCCAAAAAGTCTTATACTAAGGCCCATAATACAAGACCAAACAATATAAACTCCTATACTACCAAATATATGAGAAAGGTGGTCATCCATGTAAAGCCCAAGTAAAGAGAACCTTAGGCCCACCAAACCCATTGGGCTCACTAAGCTCAGAAGCAATCAAAAGCCCAAAGGCCCATGAAGCCCAAAACTAGGCCCAATAAGCTTAAAACCCAAAAAGTCTTATACTAAGGCCCATAATACAAGACCAAACAATATAAACTCCTATACTACCAAATATATGAGAAAGGTGGTCATCCATGTAAAGCCCAAGTAAAGAGAACCCTAGGCCCACCAAATCCATTGGGCTCACTAAGCTCAGAAGCAATCAAAAGCCCAAAGGCCCATGAAGCCCAAAACTAGGCCCAATAAGCTTAAAACCCAAAAAGTCTTATACTAAGGCCCATAATACAAGACCAAACAATATAAACTCCTATACTACCAAATATATGAGAAAGGTGGTCATCTATGTAAATCCCAAGTAAAGAGAACCTTAGGCCCACCAAACCCATTGGGCTCACGAAGCTCAGAAGCAATCAAAAGTCCAAAGGCCCATGAAGCCCAAAACTAGGCCCAATATGCTTAAAACCCAAGAAGTCTTATACTAAGGCCCATAATACAAGACCAAACAATATAAACTCCTATACTACCAAATATATAAGAAAGGTGGTCATCCATGTAAAGCCCAAGTAAAAAGAATCCTAGGCCCACCAAACCCATTGGGCTCACTAAGCTCATAAGCAATCAAAAGCCCAATGGCCCATGAAGCCCAAAACTAGGCCCAATAAGCTTAAAACCCAAAAATTCTTATACTAAGGGCTATAAACCCTAAACCCTACTGGTTTAACTCGTCATTTGTTATTTTGGAAACTGGAACGGGCCTAAGGTTATCTTTACTTAGGCTTTACATAGATGACCACTTTTCTCATATATTTGGTAGCATAGGAGTTTATATTGTTTGGTATTGTATTATGGGCCTTAGTATAAAACTTTTTGGGTTTTAAGCTTATTGGGCCTAGATTTGGGCTTCATGGGCCTTTGAGCTTTTGACTGCTTCTGAGCTTAGTGAGCCCAATGGGTTTGGTGGGCCTAGGGTTCTCTTTACTTGGGTTTTACATGGATTACCACCTTTCTCATATATTTGGTAGTATAGGAGTTTATATTGTTTGGTCTTGTGTTATGGGCCTTAGTATAAGACTTTTTGGGTTTTAAGCTTATTGGGCCTAATTTTGGACTTCATGGGCCTTTGGCTTTTGACTGCTTCTGAGCTCAGTGAGCCCAATAGATTTGGTGGGCCTAGGATTCTCTTTACTTGGGCTTTACATGGATGACCACCTTTCTCATATTTTTGGTAGTATAGGAGTTTATATTGTTTGGTCTTGTATTATGGGCCTTAGTATAAGACTTTTTAGGTTTTAAGTTTATTGGGCCTAGTTTTGGACTTCATGGGCCTAGTTTTGGACTTCATGGGCCTTTAGGCTTTTGACTGCTTCTAAGCTCAGTGTGCCCAATGAGTTTGGTGGGCCTAGGATTCTTTTTACTTGGACTTTACATGGATGACCACCTTTCTCATATTTTTGGTAATATAGGAGTTTATATTGTTTGGTCTTGTATTATGGACCTTAGTATAAGACTTTTTGGGTTTAGGGTTTAGATGTAATTTAGTAGAATGAAAAAAAAAATTATTTTGCTTCAAAAAATTCGTATGACAAATTTGTAGTTAGAATGGGCGGTGCCGAATTGAGAACGACCCGTTCTGGTTTAATTAGTCATTCGTTATATTTGAATTGGGAACGGGTTGTTCTGATTTTAGAACGGCCCGTTCCGTTCCATTCGTCATGTGTTTTTTCTTCATCTGGAACGGCCCGTTCTGATACAATATTCATGTGTTATTTTTTCATATGGAACGACCCGTTCTGATTTCAGAACGGCCCGTTCCGAAAGCGAAAAGCAGCTACACCTGTACATCGTAACACGTGCTTTTTTTTTTTGCTAATTTTAAAAATAAATAATTTCAGTAAAAAATTCTGAAATTTTGATCCTGTGTGGTAAGGTGTATAATATGCTATTTGTTTAGATGAATCTTATGGTTAAAAGTCATGGTGCACCCATACACCACTTGTTTTGATGGTCCATAAGAGAATTTACCT